AGTAGAGAACTACCAATGCCGTTAGAATCAATTTTTTTGTACAGTATTTTGTCCATTCAGACAAAATCCGGTGTTTTGGTGAATAACACTGATAGTGACCCACACTCATAGGTACACGCAAATGGATGCACACAAACAAAAAACAGATGCAGGCATAGTGGTACATACATGCATAGAGATACATTCACACAGATGCACATATAAACAGATAAGCAAATAGGAATAAATAAAAGCATACTCTTAGCTACACTCTTGTTTCCTTACCTTTTGAGTATGGTGGCTAAGTGGTTTCCTTGTGGACCAGCAGAAGCTGGTCTAGACTGTCAGTTGCTCTCTCTCTCTCCCCACATGGCTCTGTGATATGCAATTAAATTCTCTCAAACCCAGTGCTTTCATACAAGGGAGAAATCACTTTTTTTTCAGTGGACCATACCAATGCAGCTGGGAATTGTTGTCTGGTTTGGTGAGGGATATATCTATCTCCCCAACTGGAACATATTTAGTTAAAAGACCCAGAGAAGGTCCTGGCACTTATCAGGCCTCTGACAACAATATAGGCCATGATATGGGCAGTCCTGTTTTTTTCTATAATTTAAAAGTTTTGATAGAGGAAAAAAAAAAGCTTTAATTTCTGTAAAACTATAGACACAAATCATATTATTAATGTTTAATTAAAAATAATTAAATACCAAAACAAACAACAATTGAGGGGGCTATTTTAATATGTTGTACTAATTATGGTGCTTAAAGTACATTACAAGGAGCTTTTGAAATCTGTGTAATGGCCCGTGAGTTATACTTCATTATTTTCAATGGAACATTTTTTTTAGTAATAAATACTAATGTAGATGATATTTATTATTTACGGTCTGCCTGAGCTAAATTGTATTATTATTATATTTACTGTTTTGTTTGAAAAAAATATTTCTTAAAATGTACTTCATTCATTTTAATAATAACATAGTTGGAGAATTTTTACAGCCACCAAAGATAATGCAAATTGAGTTAATTCTTTTTTCAAACATCAACACAAAATATGTGAAAATTAAGCTGAATAAATTGTGGTTGTACAATCACATAAATTATATTTAGTGTGATCTGTGCTTTTTACAACCAAAATAGACTATGTCTGTTTATTTTTATTATTTCATAGAATATAGAATATATATGTATTTCTAGGAGATTGAAGAATTATGTTTTTTTCAATAAGACTAATTATTATCCAATTCCTATCGCTTACCAATGTAGCGAGTTTTATATAAAATAGTAATAAATATTTAATAAGAGAAGACAGGATCCAAATGTATAATCTGTTTATGGTGTGAAATAAATGCTTTATGTATACAGTTTATAAATGCATGTTGTTAAAACAAGTGTAAAAAAAACCACACCTTAAGTTGATTCTTTTAAATTAGTTATTTGAATTATGTACATGTGGTCTCTACAGCTCTGTGGAATTTGATGATGCCTTATGAATAATAAATACTATGAGAATAATAGGAATATGAAGAACCAGTTTAAGTCATAGATGCCCTCAGTTGGCTGATAGCATAAACCTTGCTAATGACAGAAAACAACTTATTTACAAAATTCTGATTTCTCAATTAAAATGTCATGGTCTTCATCTGCTGACCTGGGCAAACTCCGCATTTCAATAACTATTTTGCTAATGTCAGAGAACTGGCAAATATATATATACTTTTTTGTTCTTTAGCCATTATTTTCATCTTTAGAGGTCTGAATTTTTCAGTGTTTCTTTAATCTAAAATGTCAAACATTTCTTTCTTAAAGCTTTATTTTTCTGATGAAACACTATTTTTGTGTTAATGAAATCCTTTTAATTTGCTTATTTAATTTTTTTCGTTACAAATATAATAGTATAGCCATTTAAAAAAAAAAATAAAACACGATAGTCCTGGTGACAAAAGAAATATCAAAACACTTTGTAAACATCAATTTAAAAGCCTTTTTATAAAACTTTTTGTTATTTTTTACACAGGCAAAAAATATAACAAAAAAATAACAAAAAAGTAGTTGCAAAATTATATAAATGTTTCCTTTTGCTGTGGGAAATAAGTATGAAATGATGAGCAGTAGGGGATGGGGATGGGATGTATAGCATATTGTGTGAGACTGAAACATTTTGGCAAATAAATACCACGTAAATGAACAATATATTTGAACACATTATATTAACATATAAGTTATGAATTACACAGACAATAAGAGTCACAATGCATATAAGTCATAAAATCCATGCTGTTTTCATCTATCTTGATTGATGGTAACTTGATATTGCAAATTGATATTGCTAAATTTTGGAAATGTTTGTTTTGCTGCAGGAAATCAGGGTGTAAGTGTGAATCTGAAGAAAGTAAATATTGCATAACATGAGCCAAGTTATGCAATATTTACTTAAATCTAATATTAAATGTTCTACCCTTTTATTTTAACAAGCACATCATGTTTTCAAATATCATCTCATATTCTCTGCCTTTTTTATATTGCAGCATATCAGCAATGGCAAATAACAAAGTAAATGTCTGTCAGGTTTTTTTTTATTACAGGTTAGAAGAGGAAATCTGTTGATAGCATACGAATGTATACTGAGCTCATTATTTAGTATGCAATAATATGTTAAAAGTAAAAAATCTATACTATCTATACCAGTTCTAAGTGTTACATCTATAAACACATCCCCAAAAGTATATACAAAATTATGTCCTAATTTGAAGGACTATGTCATATATCTAGAATTTATTCATATTTTACTAGTTACAGAGCATTTATTACAAGGATTGCACCATTGTTTTATTAAAAAAATCTAATTTGTTATTCTGACATTTAAACATATTTTCAAAATCTAGACACCTAAAATAGTTTACCCTGGGACATTTTAAAACATTTCACACATCCATTTTATTACAATCTCTTTTAACAGTTGCGATGTTTTTGTATATTTCTCTCACGTATTCATGTGATCACTTTCTAATAATTTTTGATGGAAGAGTATAAGAGGTTTTTTTTCTGTACTCTTCTTAGAAGGAAGTAGTCTGAGAAAAGTTGTGAAGGTTGTATGGGATTGGATGGGCAAAGTATTTTGTGGGAAATTTGAAGAACCAAGGTTTAAAAGTATATGAAGTGGTTTCCGAAGGTAGCTACTCTTCTGACCATTGTTTATTACAATTACAACTCACATGGAAGCCTGGTGCCACACTCGAGTGAAAAATAGGAAAAGGTTAAGTATTACTTTAATGGAACACTATAGTTATAGTCACCAAAACAACTTTAGCTTAATGAAGCAGTTTTGGTGTATAGATCATGCCCCTTATCTATATACCAAAACTGCCATGTAGGAGTTAGACCACTTTGGTTTCTGTTGCAGCACTAGCCACCCCTTCCCTCGCTGTGACCTTGATGTGTAGCAAGGTCCCCTCCTCAGTCATACATCTCCAACATTTTGAGGAAACAGTTGGATAAAACTTGTGTAACTTGTGGGGTGTCAAATACCATCTATAGAGGAGCTACCTATGTTCCTCTATGTGCGTGTAGCATTTTATCCATTTGAACAAGCCATTGAGTGCTCGCAGCCACCTATTTTATGTCAAGTTTTCTCCACAGTCTGCTTCCAAGTGGTCCTTGCAGGTTACCGGTTTATCAGGCTGCATTTCCAACTAGGCTCTATAGCAGAGAGGAAAGTCTTTTGGTTTGGTCGGGACCAACCAGCATCTGTGCAGTACTAGTGGAGGTGACAGTAGCAGGGGCTCTTTGTTGATATCGGAGTGGGTGTGGGTGTGAGGACAGTATACTTTTAACTTGTAAATAAAGAAAAGCTTCTTGGTTGGGGACACCCCACAGTTTCTGTAAGTCATGGAAGGTTCTCACCCTTTTCCACTCTAGTAGGTGGCCTATCTGTGTGATGCCCAGCCTTTGCCAATTATCTAATGATACCATCTGAGTTATGGCTTTAAGCACTGTCAACAGAGCTTTTGGATGAATTTTAGATTTATAACCCAGCCGTGGCATGAAATCATCCCACATTTTCAAGGTCAGTTTATTAGGAGGGAGCAGGCCCTCTCTGTTTTACACAAGTGTGCTAGGGTCCACATATAATCAATCATGTTTCAATCCTGGAATTGAGCTTTCTCTAGGTCCACCCATTGTATTTGACCCTGGGGTGCATGTAGTGCAATCCCTGCTGCTAATACAGTATCTTTACGCTACAGTCCTATTTTTTTTTTTTAAATTCTTTATTTTTGTAGTGCAGGTGATTACATACAGCTTGTCATGCCACAATAGCATTTAACAAGAAAGTCAGGATACATAGCTTACACGGTATAAGGCATTGAGTTAGTCTTGTACTCATTTTTATAAGGGTATAATAACAGGTTTATAAACAAGCTTGTGAGATCTATCTAGAATCCGATTACAACATCAACATTCCTGGTAGGTGAGGTTATCTAGATATTAGGTGAAGTGTGTTAATACAAAAGGTTATCCTTATTCTATTTCTGCTTTGTTTTGGAGCTGCTAAGTAGGAAGTGTTCCAGTTTGGCTGCCCTATCTGTGTGTGTGGAAAATGTTTTCCGCCACATAGAGGTGAGATCGGTCTGGGCCTAGTGAATTGGTCATCAGGCTAACTGGCAGTGAGACTAGTTAGAGGTGTGCTAAAGTAAGATAAAATAAAATAAAGAGGGTACCACTGAGGCTGAGTAATGCTCCATCAGGTCAAAACAGAAATATAAAACAACTTGTTTACAAGACATGAAACAAAATTGTAATTCAGGGTGTTTTTCAACTAGGTATGGTTGAGCTTTGGGTAGTCGGTACCCGAACTTATCCCCCTCTCAGTCCACTTCTCTTCAACCGATGCCGTCTCTGGAGGCTTGGTAGCTGCTTCCCACTGAAGGGCAGTCCCTCTGGGCCTCGTACTCGTTGGGCTGTTGGTGTGTCTTCCACTCCAGTCTCGGCGTTTGGTTAGGCTGTGTTCGCAGGCCTAATCTCTGCTGCTTGTCTGTAGTGATGCTTTGCTCTTGGGGCCTGCTGGTTTTTCCTCCCCGTTGTCTTGCTCCGGTGTGTATAGTGGCACGGGCACTTCTTGTAACTTGTGTGGATTAGAGGCCGGTGGGTGGGCCGGGTCATAGTGCCTGAGGGGTCGCTTGCCGCTGGGTGCGCCTGCAGGAGTTTGCTTGGTGGCGGGTGAGGTCGTTTCTGGTGATGCCATTTCTGTGCTCCTTTCTCCCCGTGGTGTGCGCCTTGATAGCATGAGCCTGCAGGCAACATTGGCGGTGAGTGTACCTCTGGGCCTTGTGCCAATATGGTGTTTAGCCTTGCCAGTGTGTCTGTTCCTTCTTTTATGGCAGGTGGCCCGGTTACTGTCGGTGCCAGTTTGGTGTTGACGGGCCCTGTCTGGGAATGCTGCTTCATTGCTTGGGTGGACCCTCTTGGGACCGGGATGACCCCCGCCGGTCCATAGGGGGGGAACGTGGGCCCTTAGTCATGCTTACTGCCGTGGCAGACTACGGGGAAGCCGCCGCCTCCCCTGCGCCCACCATGCTTGGAGGCCGCAGGTATTGTTTTGCTGAGTCTTGCCCGAAGGGCTGACTGTTTGGTATCTGCATGTGCCCCACAGCGGCACCTCACGATTGGTGGCACTTTTGCGTCGTTTTGATGCCTTTCTGGGCTGGTTTTGGCTTAGTTTTCATCTGTAGATATAGGAGCTGCTCTATCTCGTGTCCGCTCTGCTCAGCGGTCAGGCCCCGCCCCCTACAGTCCTATGTTGGGGAGACCCACTCCCCCATTGGTCAGGGTTTTTTGTAAAAGAGAGAGAGGTAGCCCCATTCTCTTGCCACCCCAGATAAATGAACTGCATGCTGACTGTAAAGATTTGTGGAGTGAGCTAGGGACTTGTATAGGCAACATGCGAAAAATATAGAAGATGCGTGGAACAGTCATCATCTTGAAAGCGTTGATTTTGCCCAACCATGTAAGGTTAGCTGCTTTCCACTTGAGTGCATCAAGAGGTTGGCAATTTCCATGGCTTTGTGAGTGTGGATATGTGGGCCAATAGCATTTCTTCCAGGAGGGAGCCTGGTTAAAGATGTTCAGTAGATGCAGAGACAGAATTTTTGGTGAATGTGCTGTAGTAAATATTTGAAAGCCCGTCCGGGCCTGGGGCTTTGTGGGCTGGAAGGGAATTAATTAAGGTAAAAAAAATTTCTATACTAAAGGGGGTCGTAAGTTAACTAATGCCCTCTGGTCACAATGTCATTTGATGGAGGTCTGAAAGAAAGGTGTCTATGTCATCAGCAGTAGGTAGAACAATCTGTGGGTCATTTGTTAGTTATATAGCAATTGGTAGTACTTAGCAAATTAATTCGCCACATGCTGTGGGTCTAATATTTATTTCCCCCTTAGCGTTTTCGAGGTAGGCGGTCCTGGAGGCGGCTTTTTTTTTTTAGCTGGGATACCAATTTGGCACCTGCTTTGTTACAGAAGTGAAAAAGTCGTGTTTCAGCCTCCGAAGTAGAAATGTTGTTTTAGAAAGCTCCAGGTCGCAGAGTTGGGACTGTAATTGGAGGATTTTGGCGTGACTGTAACGGTTCGGGTTGTGTTTGTTGGAGTGTGTTAGGCTCGTTAATTCAGTGATTATACCCATATATTTCTCTAGGCGTTTCTTTTTGGCAAAACTGGCATGCTTAATAAGGCATGTGTGCCAACCAGATTTGGTCTGCCGTTAAGTCAGGCATTTTTTTCTCGCCAAAGTAATGTTGTAAATCTTGTTCTATTTGTGCGACTATATTTGGGTCAGCAAGTAAGTGCTCCTTTAATCTCCAGCTGCCCTGGCCTCGGTTAGTGAATTGCCATCTCAGGGATATTTGTCTCACCACAAAATCTTACCTATTTAGGAGTCTTACACTTTGGGGAAGGAGGCAGAGGGAATTAAAAACCTGTTGATTCTCGAATAACGGTTATGTGCTGCATGAGTAATCTTGCTCGTTGGGATGTTGCAGCCTTCACGGGTAAACAAAATTGTGTGTCATAACAGTTTGTCTAATTCGAGAGAATTGGATCTCTCTTCGCTTCAACATTCGGGCCAGTAAGCTCTGATGTTGGGAAGAGTCAAGTTTATTATCTAACTGAAAGTTGATATCGCCTCCAATAATGACCTCCCCGAATGAGTGGAAACTGAAGTAAAAACATTGTCGATAAAATCGCCTTGATGTTCGTTAGGACCATAGACATTAATGAATGTCAAAGGACTGTTGTTAACATAACATTGCAACACAATATATCTTCCTTTTTTATCACAAATCTTATGAACTAAAGAAAAGGCCACATCTTTACTGATTAAAATTGACTCCCCACGTTTTTTTGTAGAAATCTACAGAGAAAGCTTTGGAGTTAAATCTAGGTGTATATCCCCATTTGAAATGTTTTTCTTGGTAAAATACAATATGTGCGTTATGGTACTTGCCATCCTCTAGCGCTAATCGCCGTTTATTGGGGGAATTGAGCCCCTTTGTGTTGAGAGATCAAAACTGAGCGGGAGAGCAAGTAAGGTTTGTATATGGGACTCGGGCGTTTTCTGAGAGGGCCCCCTCCAACACCCGGCCCACCAGATGCCGTTTAAACTGCTCGGGGCCGATCTCTATGACTTTTTGTAAACAAAGGTTTCTGAGCCCAGGTGATTTATTAGGATCTAACTTCGTCAGTGTCAGAAACGTTGGATATTTTAAGAAATACATGGTAACTATGTGCAAAATTCCATTTGTCAACAAGGGTCCTCACATGTTGGTATAACAGTTAGAATTGTGGCTCATTACACTGAGCCACCCCGGGGGTGTACGTCTTGCATAGTCAACCAGACAAACTAGGGAGGATGCCTTTGTAGCACAGGGTATCAGCTCCCGACAACAGTGTTTAACTATCAATTTATCGTGAGCATGAGTGCATTTTTGGATAGCCTTGTATATACCATCTTACGACAGTAGGCACCTATGGCGAGGCAACAGATATTAACTATACACAAACCCAGATACATGTACAGTTTGTTACCCATCTGGAGGGATTCAAGAGGTCTTATGTTGCTTGACATGAACTATTTTCGACCAGTCTCTATTAAGCTTGACTGGAGATGACTTGCTATGGGCCGAGGTGTTGTCTGTCTGTGTTCAGGGCCGCCATCAGAAATTTTGGGGCCCCTAACACAGCTCAAGGTCTGGGCCCCCCTTCAAGCCCGCCCACAGGGCCTGCCTCCAAATCCCGCCCACAGGAATACACACACACACTAACAGAGACAAATACTGAAACAGACATACACACATGCATAGGGAGATACTGACACACACACACACATATACATGCAGACATACATACTGACAAACATATATATACATACACATACTGCATACGGATATATACATACATACATACTGACAGGCATACATACATACACACACACACTGGCATACATACATACAGACACACACTGGCATACATACACACACTGGCATACATACACTGGCATACATACACATTTACAGTCTCCGAAATAACCTACCTGCCAATGTTTCTCTGAGTGAGGAGCGGAAGGATACCTCCTATGATCAGCAGGGTTAACTCCAGCAGTTAAACAATGGACATCTTGGCACTTTGGTATATCAGCTGCTGGGTCCAGGAATACAAATAACATCATTTAAAAAAATAATGTCCATCAGTTGCAGTCAGATAAATAGCGTTTTGGAAGATTTATAGCCAGCTTTGTTTTGTATCCATCTGTACAAAGGGTAATACATTTCTATATATACACTGGCATACACACATACACTGGCATACATACATACACTGGCATACACACACACATACACTGGCATACACACACACACATACACTGGCATACAAACGCACATACACTGGCGTACACACATACATACACTGGCGTACACACACACTGGCATACACACACACTGGCATACATACATACACTGGCATACACACACACATACACTGGCATACATACACACATACACTGGCATACACACACGCACACACACACACACACTGGCATACAAACACACATACACACATACACTGGCATACACACACACACACACTGGCATACACACACATATACTGGCATACATACATACACTAGCATAGATACACACATACACTGGCAAACATACACACATACACTGGCATACACACACTGGCATACATACACACATACACTGGCATACACACACACTGGCATACACACACATATACACTGGCATACATAAATACACTGGCATACATACACACATACACTGGCATACATACATACACTGGCACACACACACACACATACACTGGCATACACACACACACACTGGCATACACACACATATACTGGCATACATACATACACTGGCATAGATATACACCTACACTGGCAAACATACACACATACACTGGCATACATACACACACTGGCATACATACATACATACATACATACACTGGCATACACACACTGGCATACATACATACACACACTGGCATACACACATACACATACACTGGCATACATACATACACTGGCATACATACATACATACATACATACATACATACACTGACATACATACACTGGCATACACACACTGGCACACATACACTGGCACACATACACTGGCATACATACATACCCTGGCATACATACATACACTGGCATGCACATATACACATACACTGGCATACATACATACACTGGCATACACACATACACTGGCATACATACGTACACTGGCATACACACACTGGCATACATACACACACTGGCATACATACACACGCTGGCATACATACATACACTGGCATACACACATACACTGGCATACATACACTGGCATACATACATACACTAGCATACACACATACACTGGCATACATACATACATACATACACTGGCATACACACACACTGGCATACATACATACACTGGCATACACACATACACATACACTGGCATACATACATACACTGGCATACACACAAACACTGTCATACATACATATATACACTGGCATACACACGCTGGCATACATACATACATACATACACTGGCATACACACATACACTGGCATACATACATACACTGGCATACACACATACACTGGCATACACACGCTGGCTTACATACATACATACATACATACATACACTGGCATACACACATACACTGG